CTTAGAAAGTCAACCAAAAGGTTGATTTCTTTGCAAAAAAAACGTTTTGATAGGTTTTTTTTTTTTTTTCGATTGAAATAGTTTTTTTTTGTTTGGTTGATAAAACATTTTTTTTGGTTGAAATTATTTTTTTATATTGAAACTGCTTTTTTAGTTTGGTTGAAATTATTTTTTTTGGTTGAAAATATTAATTTTGATTGAATTTACTTTTTGTTTGGTTGAAAAAATTTTTTTTGATTGAAATTATTTTTTTTGATTGAAGATGCTTTTTGTTTGATTGAATAATAAAAACACAAATTTACCTCCATAATCCAGCAGTGTGACACTGAAGACGAGGGCAGGATGACAGAGAACTGAAAGCTATCGTTAGCTCGTTGTTGTGTAGTTAAACTTGTGTGGAAAAAAAATGTCACAGTTTACTCTCATCTGTGTGACGTAACCCCGGCAGTCAGTAAACCAATCAAGGAGCAGCAGTAGCTGACGTCTAATCAGACCAGCCCAATTGGAACCACAGCTCTTGAAGTTCCAGAAATCAGGGTGGGCCTGATTGATGGATAAGGGCAAAAACTCAAACCTGGGTCTGAACCCTGGAACAACTTTTACAAATCCAACATATGAATTAACTGGACTGTAGAGTTTCTGATTTATGGTAAAATGGTAAATGGTAAACTTATAGAGCGCTTTGTAAAGTCCCTCCGGACCCCAAAGCACATTACACTTACAGACAATCACCCACTCACACTCACACACTGATGATGGCAAACTACACTGTAACCACAGCTGCCCTGGGGCACACTGTCAGAAGTGGGGCTGCCATGCACCGGCGCCACCGGACCCTCTGACCACCATCAGTAGACAAGGCGGGTGAAGTGTCTTGCCCAAAGACACAACGACTGAGACAGCTGGACGGGGGATCGAACCGGCGACCTTCTTGGTTTCAGGACGACTCCCCTAACCACTCTACCACAGCCGCCCATAATTATATTATAACAAATGCTAATCATCATCACAAACTATAAGGCCTAAAATATATTTATTAACATTTTTATTAGTAAAATAAAAGGCATTAGGTCCTGAGCTAACATTATTAGCTTGGGAGCTAACGCTATTTCAGCATGTATATATATGTATTAGCTAAGGTAATAAGCTAACACAAAAGCTAAAAGGCTAAAGCTGGGGAGAGCCTAAACATCATTATTTACACAGAATGCTTTGCAGCATAAATAATATGGTGCCCTTAGTGTTTTTACAGCTTTGATTTTAAAGTTTACGTAAATGTTTATCAAATAATGTCTAATGTTAAAACTAGTCAAAGCTCCCTTTTAAAGAAATTCTTTGAACAGCTGTGTATTTTTCCACAGTCACCTTTGGGGAATGACAGCCTCCCTGGTATAATCTCTTACCGTCATAGTGTCTATCTTGCCTTTGACCTGCTCGTTCCTTGCCAAGGCTCTCTCCAGACACTCCTTGGTGTACAGCTGAGGATTTCGACCTTGGTCAATGTACCTTCAAAACACAAGGTCTAATGTCAGACAGTGACGAGGCAAAGCACAAATAAACTTTATTTATTTAAACAGGCTAAAACAGAACCTTTAGGCAATGGAAAGATACATGAAGAACATTATAATCTGCCTTTGTTCCAAATATTATTACGATCTGAAAACTCGATGTACGCGTTTTCTTCTACAGAATTGTCATTGGTGAAAATGATTTTAGTGTTGAAACTTGTCTTCGTCGCTTGACACATTTGGCACACTTGTCAATGTTTGTCAGGCTTAGTTTACAAAACAATTGTCCATATGATTTTGAAATGGTATTCATTTAAATTTTTGCTACTTTTAAATTGGATTATGTAAAGTATTTAACATTCAAAATACTTGCAAGGGAAAAGAGGGTGAATCTTATCTGAAAATGTCATGGCAATATCTTATGAGCAAAAAATAAATAAATAAAAACAAGGTCCTTTTGTCCTTTTCTCCAGCTATGAATTCTGGCAGAACTTATGAGCAAAAACATCTCTAGAGCTTTCTTAATACCTGAGATAATCACATGATTTTCAAGGGGTTTTAATGCTCTTTTTTAATTTGTTGTCAGATGTAATATTGGTGTGGGATTTTTTTAAAGTACCCACATCCCTGCATGTAGACTCAGTTAACTCTTATGAGGCTTTGTTTACAAGTAACTCCATCTGTTTGGTTTGCTCACAAGCTACACCAAACTCCCTTCAAAAATATCTGAATTTATTTCTCCTTTCTCCTCGGCTAGTATGTTTGCATCAAACGCCAGACCTTACTCTTATTCACCACTGCTGAGTAAAGCACCATCACCCAGCTTGCAAACACGGAAACAGTTATAGCCATTTCTCTGTATATTAGACTTCTGGACTCACTCGAAGACCTCCAGGGGGACGTTGATCTCATGAAGCTGTTGACGGCACTTTTCCACGTCTTGTAGACCAGAAATCATGAAATTTCTAAACAAAACAGAGAGACAACATACCGAGTAAACTTCTTGTATTATTGTTGTTTGTTTGAGCATGTTCCGCCTATGTACAGAAAAGAAAGCAAAACTCACAGTTTCTGGTTGAGGACTGCCTGACTGCTCGGCTGGAAGTCGCTAACAATGATTCCCAGTTGTCGAATGTTCTCGATGAATTTCTCCAGATGCTCCTCGAGGTTGTCAAATTTTTCAGCCATTTCTAATTTCTTACAAACACAAAATAGAAAAATAAAGTTTAAAAAACAGTGTTTGATAATTCCTTTTGTCAAATTTTCGCTGACTAGTATTAGCATCCGACACCACGACGACAGCTAAAGCGCCGCAGCACTTTACGACCGGTCGCAAAATGGCGACGCGCTGATTGCCGCATTCCGTTTAAAAGTGTCGTGCTGCATGTGAGAGGAGACTCCGCTGTGTGGGAATTTGTCTGCAGTCTACACCTGTAAACATACAACATTAGTTAGGAACTGCGCACATAAACAGGGATAAGTTAACGAGTTAAATGTACATTATATTGTTTTTGTACTACAAACCTAGCGAAAAATTGTAATGGTAATGCAAGTAGGTATAATATAAGTAATGATCATGACATAAATTAAATCACATTAAACTATTTCTCTTATTATTACCTCGTGAATCAGAAAAATATTGTATGAAAGCACTATGTTTGCTTTGACAATAATCTTAAGATAAACTTGTGATATAGGAACTAACTCATTTGCGTGTTTTTTAATAAATAATAATAATGCTTTAATATAAATTTTAACATTGTCCTATTGAAAATATGAATATGAAATGTTTTATTCTAAGAGTCAAATTAAGTCGTTATTTTAAACTAAATGTGCACAAATTAAAACAAATGGTGTCTCATGGAGACTACTTATTTTCAAATTAAAAGAAATAATTCATGTTAACTTGTACAAATAAACATTTAATTCAGAGTCAGTATGTTGATAAATTATTACTCAATGCTCAATTATGATAAAACACAAAAGTAGACACGTTTTAACTGACTTTTTCAAAAACACTAAACATATTTCTTCTAAGTGCTGAAAGTGATTTTCTGAACATTGGCTCTTGGAATGAATTGGAGCATTTCTGAGTTGAAACGATTAGATTAGATTAGATTAGATTAGATTAGATTAGATTAGATTAGATTAGATTAGATTAGATTAGATTAGGAATCTTTTTTAATGGAACTATCAAACATAAAGAAATGGCCAATAGCCAGCTTCACAGCTGCTGACTTGGAACTAAAAAGTGCTTTAAAATCAGTTATATATTAT